CCCCAAAACCCCAAAACCCCAAAACCCCAAAACCCCAGAATTTTACTTCTTCTTAAAATATTTTTAATAAAATGTAACTTATAGCCCATTTTGCCTACTGATGAACTTTGATTGTCATATATCTCATATAGATGAGCTCCGGATCTACAGGATTCAGCATCCCTTTCAAGAAAACAGAGAAAGATTCCTTTGTAAATAGTTGTTTTACTACTGCAAGGACTGCACTTTGAACTATCCTTTTGTTTTGGTTCTGCAAGTAAGTTTCCTCAATTAAGATATCCTTAAAAATAAAATTGCCAATCTTGGTCACTCATTTTTGGTCTTTTCAAAGATGTGCAATTTGTTGCATTCTAAGGTTCGATTTCACTTCCAAAATTATTTCGGAATCCCTTCTTGCACTATCCTTCTTAGCTGGCATCATTCTTTGTATCCTCTTTAAATTGAGTCTCTCTACATAAACAGAATTCTCAGATTTCTGTTAGGAATCCTTCGTTCTCTTCCTTCTGGCTGACTTCTCTGTGTAGATACATGTCCTCGGACAAGAACTGTGGAGATGATGTTAGAGGACTAATCACAAGCATGATGTGGATCAAGGGTCTTGCAGTTTTCCCTTTATATTCTCTTGTAGGAGCCCTGACAAGTGCCGATGTAATTGATCATGGCTGCGCGAACAGTATAGTATCAATCTTCTGGTTGTACATGATGAGTAAGTTGTATTGATTAACTTTAGCCTGGTACTCACAGATCATTCAAATATTCTTCGCTGGTTCCAATAATTGTTGGTCAACAGCAGGATGGCTATGGTTTGCTGGATTTTTGCTAGTAATAGAAGCTATTATAAATGTCCTCCTCGCTGTTTGTGCTATAGCAGCAATTATTGTGTTAATATGCGCTTGTATTTCTGAGATGAGAGGCAAAAGCAGCGCAAGAGAATTCAATCCTCATATATTTAACAAAGAACTACCCTCAATGGGATCCAGAGGGGAGAGTATGGCCTAGCTAAAGAATAATTTCTAATACTGATGAACAAGTATTTCAATAAAGAAGGATTCCTACGGGGTTTTGGGGTTTTGGGGTTTTGGGG